TATATATATATATATATATATATATATATATATATATATATATATATATATATATTATTTCACTGATGGTTTGAAATCAAACTAGTCTTGATTATTGCAAAGGAAAATGCTTCTATTTTCAGGAATGTAAACTTGACAGTGGTTGTAATGAAAGTAAATAAATAAATAAATAAACATACACTACAAGCTAGCCTATCCATAATGCATTATTTTCATTTTAAGTATAGAAAAGTGGTGATTATTACTCTTAATGTAATACTCAATTTATAACATTTTAAGTGAAAAAAGTATGTTTATTTTATTTGCCATTATATACAAAAATATTAAAACTGTCATATTTAATCCCCGTCCCATTTAAACTTAAAATGAAAATAATGCATTATGAATAGGCTAGCTTGTAGTGTATGTTTATTTATTTATTCAGATGTATCTATCTATTACTATTTATCTATCTATCTGTATATATATATATATATATATGTATGTGTATATATATGTATGTATGTATGTATGTGTAAGTATATGTCTGTGTGTGTGTGTATGTATATATATATATATATATATATATATATATATGTGTGTGTGTGTGTATATGTATATATGTATGGAAAAAGGCAAAGTTCAAGAGGTCATTGGACAATGGTTTAATTCAAAAGTTTATAGCAAGGCAATGCTATTTGTGTGCTTATCAGGTTTAATTGTTAGTAAATAAATCTCTTACCACATTTATATTGATGTAAGCAGAATGTAATGGATTTTTCCCCTTTAGAATGGTGTTAAAAAAAGTATTCATGTCTTTTCCTTTATTGTAGATGCCGAGAAAGAAGGGGTTTCGTATGCGGCGCACACAAAGATGCATCAAAAGTAAGAGCGATGCTAGTGCATGTATATGTTTAGAAAAATTGCAGCTTTCTGTTGTAGCTGGGACAGCAGATGTAAGAGCTTCACCATTGAGTTGTGATGCATTGATTGGATGTTGTGCTGTGGCTGCAATCAAACATGTGATTGCTCCAGTGTGTACATGGGCACAAACAGATATTGATGACATATGTGTGGAAGGGAACAAATTAGCCCAATATATAATTAAGGCAAGTCAGAAAAGAGAATGTAAACGGAAAGAGTTGTGTAAGTTGATTAAACAGCACGATGTGTTTGGCAGTAAGTGGAATGTAGAAATTGGTTTGCCAGTGTACAAAGATTTTGAATTGTTAGAAGAGGAGAGCCTAATGTATGAAAAACTGCAAGAATATTTGTTAAGGGATGGAATGTGTCTGCTAAACCTTCACAGTGCAGTTAGTGTCATTATTCATCACAACAATTATTTTGTGGTGGTTGATTTTGGTACACGCGATATGTTTGGGTTGGCATCTGATATTGGCACGTCTGTGGTTGTTTTCAATACATGTCTTAATGATCTGATGGTTCACATCAGGAATCTAAGGAACTCTTTAGATGCACAGTGGTATGCCGTTAGTAGCATTTCTGTGAAGACAGGTCAAGAAGATCATGCTTGTGGTACAGAGTTTCCAGACAGCGATGTTGACATCAAAGGTGTTGATGAGTTTGACAATATAGGCACTGAAGTTGTAGCTGAGTTTGAGGATAGCACTTCTGTCAGACTTAAAAACATTGTAAGAGGATCATTTCACCAGGGGAATGACCAGTTTAAATATCGAGGAGTTCAATGTATGGCAATAGCTTTGGTAAGCCTAGCAAAGCATACAGTTAATAGTGCATTCTCATGGCAGACAAAAGACCTTGACAGAGTTGTTGTTTTAGGTGACGAGTTGTACACAGCTTTGCGAGACGCTAACAGGATTAGACACTCATCCAATCTGTTGGGCATTCCTGATTTGCCAAAACAATCAGTTATTGATGGAGAAAATTTTTTGTTTGAATATGGTGACTTTGTCAGTGGTGATATAGATGTAGTTGATAGTGAATTTATTGAGAGTGGTGTCTGCAGTAGTCTTTCAGTTGGACTGGAGAAAATGTTGGTGCAGTATGACACATGTCTTTTAACATTGTGTAACAGTACATGTGCAATCATTTCTCACAATGGACACTATGCACTGATTGACTCTCATGCACGAAGTGCTCTTGGCATGGTTGATGGAAATGGAAGAAGTGTTGTTGTATATTTTTCTTCTCTTAAAGAGTTGTTCAATCACATTAGCCTTTTAGCTAAAGGGCTCAGTAAGAAGCAAAAACTTTTTGAAATAGCTGGCATCTGTGTCACTATTACAAATGTGAAACTTACACAGGAAAATACATCAAAAATCAAAAATGAGAAACATACAAAGTGTGTAAGACTGGCAGAGAGCTATAAAGACTCTGACGAGACATTTGAAATTGAGCTTGATGAGGATTCCGCAAAAGATCTGCCAGCAAATGATGCAAGAACCAAGTGTAATATTTCAGTAAGTAATTGTCCTTCAAAGAAACTAAAAAGATATGATGTTTTTGAAGTTAATTCAGATGTTGAGTTTGTTAGTGATGTAAAAAAGAAAAACATGATATTTAGTCCTATTTGTAAGCATGTTTGTCAAACTTTGTGTACTCATTTAAAGGTGGATTTTGAAAAACTAAATGTTCCAGTATTTACACACGTTGGCTCGTTAGGAGTTCCATGCAAAAATGACAGTATAGTAGCTGATGGGAACTGTTTCTTTCGAGCCATCTCTCAAGCTGTAAGTGGCACACAAAAGTATCATAGAAAAATACGACTTGCTGTTGTGCAACATTTGGAAGAGAATAGTGAAAAATATCGAACAATTTTGAGAAGAGAGTATTCCTCAGTATCAGAATACATTAACAAGTCTAAAATGAAATATGTTAATAGCTGGGCGACGGAAGTTGAAATACAAGCAACAGCAGATTATTTAGGAATTGATGTTTTTACATTTTATGATGGTCGTTGGTTAAAATACAGTTGCAATGGTGCACTTTTGTCAAAACACAGCATCTACTTAGAAAACTGTCATGAAAACCATTATGAGACTGTAGTTTGTGTTAATGAGCCTGAACTACACAGTTGTTATGGCTACTGTAAAATCAGTACATCTTTCATTGAAGGATACAACATTAGAGCAAATATTGAAAAAGAAAATAATGTTCAAGGTTTGGAAAACAAGAAACATCTCATTACTAAGGAAATGCACCATAGTGTGTTAAAAACAATGCATAATGACACATGTTGTGCAGCAATAATGGTAAGAGATCCAGATGTTGAAGTTGTGGAAAATATAGATCAGATGACATTCACATATAGTCCTCTATCTATGGTAGTTGCACAAACATTATGTAATAAATTTAATTTGAATTTTGAAAGAGAAAATATACAAGAACCCACTGTTTATGGATCTTTAGGTGTTGTTTGTAAGACGGAAAACGTTGTAAAGGATGGCAATAGTTTTTTTAGAGCAGTGGCACAAGTAATTACCGGTTCTGAAAAGAGTCATCGGAAAATAAGACTTGCTGTTGTGAAGTATATGGAAAATCACAGTGAAGAACACATGAAGTTAGTAGCTAAAGAATTTGCTTCAATGTCAGAATATATTTCCAAATCAAAAATGCAATATGTTGGATATTGTGCTTCAGACATAGAATTTCAAGGTACAGCTAATGCTTTAGGAGTAGATCTATTTATATGTACTAAGGGAAAATGGGTCAAATACAGTTGCATGAGTGCATTGTTGGGAAGTGATGGAATATATTTAAAACATTGTGAAAATAATAATTTTGAGCCAGTAATTTGTGTTCAACATGTTGAGAAAAATGTTTGCTTTGATTTGTGCAAAGTGGGTAATTTGCCTGAAACACAGTTTATGTGTAGAAAGAATTCAAAAAGTCAAACAGAAATCCCTGCAAATAGTTCTATTTCAAAAAACAATATTTTTTTTTCTAAGTACTATAAAAGAAAATTGTCCTTCCAAAAAAACATTAAATATCAGGAAAATTTGTTGCATAAGGAAAACAAAAAAGTCATGAGCAAAACTAAGTATCAAGAAGATCTGTTGTATCAGGAAAAGAAAAAGAATGTTAGTAAATGGAAGTATCAGAAATATGAGTTGTATAAACAAGTGAAAAAGGAAATTAGCAAAAGGAAGTATCATGAAAATGTGTTGCATAAGGAGAAGGTAAAATATATGAACAAAAGAAAGTATCAAGAAAATGTGTTGTATAAAGAAAAGGTAAAGGATACAAGCAAAAGAAAGTATCAAGACAATGTGTTGCATAAAGAGAATGTAAAGGATATGAGCAAAAGAAAGTATCAAGAAAATATATTGCATAAAGAGAATGTAAAGGATATGAGCAAAAGAAAGTATCAAGAAAATGTGTTGCATAAGGAGAAAGTAAAGAACATGAGCAAAAGAAAGTATCAAGAAAATGTGTTGCATAAAGAGAAGGTAAAAAACATGAGTAAAAGAAATTATCAAGAAAATGTTTTGCACAAAAAAAAGGTGAAGGAAATGAGTAAAAGTAAATATAGGTTAAATCAGCTGCACAGGCAGAATGTAAAGGCTATTAGTACAAAAAAGTATCATGAAAATCCTGAGCATAAGAAACGTGTTAAAGTAGGTATGCAATTTAAAAGACAACAAATCAAAATTAAAGCAGAACAGTTTGATTTTGTTATGCAGCGTTTTTTGGATTTGGTAAAAGATGGACCAGATTTTGTGTGTTGTGTTTGCCAAAGATTGTTATTTCGACATCAGGTTTTAAATTGTAATAAAGATTATTATTACAAAAAAACAATAGCTTTGAATTTTGATAAATGTGTAACTGAAGAATATTTACACAAATGTGAAAAGACCTGTGTAATGCCATGTCAGTGGCTGGATACACCTAGAGGCAAGCTGTGGATTTGTTACACATGTCATTATAAGATTAACAAAGGTGAAATACCACCTGAATGTGCGAGAAACAATTTGAAAGTTCATCCCATTCCACCAGAATTGTCATGTTTGAATAGCTTGGAGCAACATTTGATTGCATTACATATACCGTTTATGAAAATGTTAGCATTACCCAAAGGGGGGCAAAATGGAGTACATGGACCCATAACATGTGTTCCAGCAAATATTGTGCAAACGTCTAACTTGTTGCCTCTTTCTAGTATGGAAGGATCTTTGTTGCCTGTAAAATTGAAGCGTAAGTTAACTTATAAAGGCCATTATAAATATCAGTTTGTTGACACTATACACATAAGACAAGCATTAAAATGTTTAAAACAGATAAATGTGCATTATAAAGAAATAGAGTTTAATGAAGTTTGGCTAAATGAGTTTTGTAGTGAACAAGATAATGACGTTTTAGAAAAAGAGACTGATGGACATGCAGAACGAGGTGAAGCATCTGTAGAGGTTGGTGAAGATGAACTTTTGCATGACAGACAGCAACATTGCATGTTTCAGGATACATGTCTCATGCCTGTTGACATTGGTCAGGAAGCGCTAGATCAGTATTTTGATGATATAATGAATCTGGCACCAGCAGAGGGGAATAATCCTGTAAAATTACTTTCTGACTTTGTTAATGAAGCCAAATGCTTCCCAGTGTTATTTCCACAGGGATGTAATACATACCATGAAAATCGAGACAACCGTTTGACATTGTCAAGATATTTTAACAACCGGATTTTGCATGCTGATGGTAGGTTTGCACAAAATGTAGAATATATATTTTTTGCTCAGTACATGTCTGAAATTGAACAAGTTGTGTCAAGTGTATCGATTGCATTGCGTAAAGGAAAAAGTGGCTCTATGGTTCAAAAAGTTGATGATAATGTATTGAACAATGAGGAATCTTTAAAGAAACTGTTAGAATTTGATGATGGCTTTCGTTTCCTTAAACCTATTCGTGGTACCCCAGCTTTTTGGCAGACAGCACAACGTGACCTACTAGCTTGTGTGCGTCAGCTTGGTATCCCTACTTGGTTCTGTTCATTTTCTTCCGCTGATATGCGATGGAACAATCTTCTTTTTAGTATTTTGAAACAAGAAGGAAGAACAGAGACAATTGAACAATTACAATGGGCAGATAGGTGTGAGCTATTGCGCCGCAATCCTGTCACCGCAGCGAGAATGTTTGATTTTCGGTGGCATTGTTTTTTAAGGGAGGTACTTATGTCTTCATCCCATCCAATAGGTAAAATTAAGGACTATTTTTATCGTGTTGAATTTCAGCAACGCGGTTCACCACATGTCCATTGCCTGTTCTGGATTGAGAATGCCCCGGTAATTGATAAAAGTACAGATGAAGAGGTCATTCAATTTATTGATAAATATGTAACTTGTGAACTACCATCACAGGATGACTCATTATTGGACATTGTTACATCTGTGCAACAGCATTCAAAACGCCATTCCAAAACTTGTAAAAAGAAAAATACTGTTTGTCGTTTTAATTTTCCCAGGCCAGTATCTGCTCGAACATTTATATGTCGTGGTAAAAGTGATGTAAAAAGTCAGTGTAACTGTCATGCAGATAAGACTGGTAATGTAACTAATGAATGTGCATGTGTAAATCAAGGTCAGACAGATTTTAAAATTAATAGAGAAAAGGCGGGTGAGATTTTGTCGGCCATCAAGAAGGCTCTTTCAGAAGAGAATTGCAATTATAACAGTGTGGAACATTTGTTTAAACAGTTAAGTATAAATCAATCCATTTTTGAACTTGCATATAAATCCTTTAGTAGAAATACACAAGTTGTGCTGAAAAGAGAGGTCAATGAGGTTTGGATCAATCAATATAGCAAGCCACTGTTAAAATGTTGGAATGCAAATTTAGATATCCAGTATGTTGTTGACGCATATGCTTGTGTGGTCTATATAATTTCTTATATATCAAAGTCAGAAAGGGAAATAGGATTGTTGTTAAGTAATGCACAAAGAGAAGCACGTAAAGAGGGAAATGTTAGTGCAAAAGAGGCACTGAAAAATCTTGGCAGTGTTTATTTACATAACAGAGACGTGTGTGCTCAAGAATCTGTGTATAGGTTAACAAATATGCATCTGAAGGAGTGTTCAAGGAAAGTTGTGTTTGTGCCAACAGGAGACAATATCATTAAAATGAGTCTTCCTTTAAAGGTGTTGAGGCAAAAAGCAACATCAAATAACCTTACCACAGAAGTCATGTGGATGACTAGTATTGTAGATCGCTATAAGAACAGACCAAATGATTTGAACGATCTGTGTATGGCAACATTTGCATCAGAATATCGCATTTTAAGTAAAAATGAAAAATCCAAGAGTCCACTTAAATTAAACAATGGTTGTGGTTTTATCACAAAAAGAACACGAACAAAACCTGCAGTTGCTCGGTATGTGCGCTTTTCTGAGGAAAAAAATTCAGAATTTTTCTATCAAAGTATTATGCAGTTGTTTTTACCATACCGTGTAGATATGCAGCTAAAACCTCTTAACTGTGAAACATTTGAACAATTTTACAAGAATGGTCATGTAACATTTAGTGATGGATCCAAACATTCAGTCAAGTCAGTTGTTGATTTAAATAGAAAGAAATTTGAAATGGAGGAAGATGAATTAGATAATATCCCAGATAAAATTGACAGTGATGGTGTAATAGAAGATGGATGGTGTGACCTGTGCCCAGAGCAAGAGTTAGAGCGTTTACTTTGTGCAGAGGAAATGAAAGACAAAAAACAGCAAGTGGAAGAACAAGATGAAAATATTCCAGATTTAGCATCAAGTAATGCAAAGGTTGCACACTTGGAAAAGAAAAATAATGTAATGTGTAGAAGTGATGGTTTAGCCTTAATTAGATCTTTGAATAATACACAGTTATCTATTTTTTATCAGATTCGACAATGGTGCTTAAATAAAATAATAGGGAAAAACCCAGATCCGTTACATATATTTATTACTGGTGGTGCAGGGACAGGAAAAAGCCATTTAATAAAAGCTATTCAATATGAAGCAATAAGGTTACTATCAACAGTGTGTCGTCATCCTGACAATACATGTGTTTTATTAACTGCTCCTACAGGGATTGCTGCTTATAATTTGCATGGAACAACTATTCATCACACATTTAGCATTGGAAAAGATGTTCGCTTACCATACACACCTTTAGGTGAAGCAAAGCTCAATTGTTTGCGTGCTAAATATAGTGATCTGCAGATTTTGATAATAGATGAAATATCCATGGTTGATCACAACCTATTAGCATATATTCATGGTAGGCTAAGACAGATTAAACAAACTGGTGACTTTTCTCCCTTTGGAAATGTAAGTGTCATTGCAGTTGGAGATTTTTTTCAGTTGCCTCCAGTTAAAGGGAAACCCCTGTATGTTGATGACATACTAGGTATTAACCTATGGTCTACTCTATTTTCAGTTGTGGAACTGAAAAAAATAGTTAGACAAAAAGATAATATGTTTGCAGAGTTACTAAATAGAATACGAATTCGTACAAAACTGACCCCAATGTTAAACAGTGACATTGATTTATTGAAAAATTGTGAAACCGGTGAAGACAGCACAGCTTTACACATATTTCCAACTAACAGACAAGTAAATGAGCATAATGTTCAGCAACTATCTAAAACGTGCCCTGAATATGTTGAAATTGACGCTCAAGATTTTATACATAATAACAAAACAGGGAAACTTGAATTGAAAAATGGTCATCATTCCAAAACATATAATACATGTTTAGATGAAACACTGCTTTTAGGGAAAGGCGCTCGTGTAATGCTGTGTAAAAATGTAGATGTAATGGATGGTCTTGTTAATGGGGTGTGTGGCACAGTAACACACATAGTTTTTCCAAACAATGACAACAAGTTCCCTCAAACAGTGTATGTAAAATTTGATGACAATCAGGTTGGTGCACAAAGGAGGAAATGTTCTGCATATACTACAGCAGTTGAACTGGACTCTACTGGTATCAAACCGGAAGAGGAAAGGGTTAATAATAAAGGGGGATTACGACGACAATTTCCACTAAAACTTGCTTGGGCTTGTACAGTACATAAAGTACAAGGAATTACTGTTGATAAAGCAGTAGTGTGCCTTAAGAGGATATTTGCACCTGGACAGGCATATGTGGCTTTAAGCCGTGTTAGAAGTTTGTCTGGTTTGATTATTCAAGACTTTGAAGAGAAGGCTATATATTGTAAAGACAGCATTAAGGATGCAATTCAAAGCATGCCCAGATTTTCTGTTAAAAGTATATCATGCCACAAAGTGAATATACAAGCATTCAGTGTATTTTTGATGAATGTGCAAAATTTAGGACACCATTTAGCAGATTTGGTTTTGCATACTGAGCATTTGCAACCTAACTGCATTGCTGTTACTGAGACTTGGTTACCTGCAGATATCTCATTAGAAACTATACATATTGATGGTTACAGTTTCAATAGTCAACCACGAAGTTTATCTTACAGTAGCAGTAACCCAACATTAACTGAATTACAAGCTCAACAACATGGTGGTGTTGGCATGTATACCTCAAACAGTTTGGCATATAATGTTGTCCAGGTACCAAATTTCAATTTAGAATGTTTAATTTGCAACTATGCAACACACAATATATTAATAGCAGTAATTTATCGGCCACCATCATATCCCATTTCTTTGTTTAAAGGAAATCTTGGCAAATTGTTAGATTTTCTAGAACCCCTAAGTAATACAATTGCTGTCATTGGAGATTTCAATGATAATATTTTAAGGTCTTCTACAATCTGCAAGTTTATAACAGACAGAGGGTTTGTCCAACATGTCAAACAAACCACAACAGAAAAGGGCACATTAATTGATCATGTATATGTAAAAACAACACATTACAATGTAGAATCAATAGTACTTCCGACATATTTCAGTGACCATGAGGGTATTTTTTGTTCATTTACATGTAATTCTTTTAACACTGATGAGGAGGAATCTGACCAGTTGTAGGTAAATATGTAAATATGGTTGTAACTGTTCAGCTTTGTTTGGCAAATGAGGTGGAGAGAGAATCCTTGTGGATACTTTATCTCTACGGAGCCATATATTGCTGTATTGCAGTGCGTGTTCACTGCAGGGTAAAAATGAAAGTGTAACATATTAAACAAATTTCTTTGACAAAGGAAAGAGAATTTACACCCTTGTGACAAATGGAAAGAGAATTTACACCCTTGTAGTACAGCTGTGACTTTCAAAATAATGGTATATATTCCTGCTTGCAACACATTTACATTTTAAACATTTATTCATATTTGTTCTTTACATTAATACTTTTAGCATCTGATGAGCTATAGGTTGTAAGTGTGATTATAATTGTTCAGCTTTGTTTGGCAAATGAGGTGGAGAGAGAATCCTTGTGGATACTTTATCTCTACTAAGCCAAATTTTGCTGTATTGCAGTGTGTGTTCACTGCAAGGTAGAAATTAAAGTGTAACATATTAAACATCCTTGAATTTACATCCTTGTAGTACAAATGTGACTTTCAAAATAATGGTTTCTTTTCCTGCATTGCAACAACATTTACATTATGAATCTTTATTTATATTTGTTTTATTAGAAGTAATTTGCAGTTGCACTAATAGAATAGTAATATACATTAGTTAAACTAAATATATTAGTTAAATTAAATACTGCAATAAATGAAGTGCAACCACTTCAGTTACATATGAGATGAATAATTACCTTGTATGGCTAACAAAAAATACTTTATAGTTCCGGTGTTACAGATAATAACTTTGAATGAAATCACACTTAAACATGACTGAAATGTAATAATACTCAATACAACGATTAAAATAGTTTTTTTTCTTTTTTACCTATTAAACTTTAACATTGATCTGATTTATGTTCGTAGGTTTTTGACTTTGGTCCATAATATTACTCTTAAAATAATTTGTTCATGTAAAGTACTACTTCCACTTTTATGTTGTTCCTAATGCAGGTTTTGCTTTGCCATATATGTAGTTTCAAAAAGCAAAAGTCACTGGTAATGGTACTCCTGGTTTACTGGGATGGGGTTCAATTCCCTACGGTGGCCTTGTTTTTTGTAGCAACTACATACAACGTAATATTATTTACATTAGATTTATAACATAAGTCTTCAGACCAGAGGCCTGTTTCATAAAACAAGTTTACCAAATAAGACAGGCTTATTTAGTTAGTCTGACTTATTCTCCATTGATTTGGTTCAAAATAAATCAGACTAACTTAAATAAGCCTGGCTTATTTGGTCAATTTGTTTTATGGAACATGCCCCAGGGCTATTATCAACATTGTGTGGTTTGGGCCAAACCAGACATTGTATACGTCTAAGTAACAACAACATCCTGTTTCATGGCATTGGTAACATGGTTTACCACTTACTCAAGTGTTTTGACTAAATGTTTTGCATGTTTCTACCATGTTGCTAGAATGTTTAACACTTGCTGGCATATTTTAGGATGCTAACAGAAATACATCACAATCTAATGTATCAATTATTGTCGACAACAGATAGTGCTATGCCTAAAACTTAATATTGGCATGTGAACTTTGGCACAGCTTGAAAAGTGAATTTTTAATGTAAAAAATGACTGTAACTGGATATTAGCACCTGGATATCTTTTGGACAAAAGCCATATCAAACATTCTATTTGGAACGGATTGTACAATATGCATTTAAAGTGATGAATATAGAAGGAATATGTAAAAGTCATTTATAGGTGTCAAACTTCCTGCTGCCAGCTGGTGGTGCTATGGCTATAACTAAATATTGACATGCAGATGTCTTCAGGCCAGCACTTTTATCAAACATATGAAGTTTGGTGCAGATTGAACATGGTAAGTTTGAGTTAGTATAAAGCATGGCGTATCCTATTGCCAACAGGTGGCACTATGATTATAACTGAATATTGGTCTTTAGATGTCTTCAGGCCAGGACTCTTACCAAACATGTGAAGTTTGGTGCAGATCGGACATTGCATGTTTAACTTGGTGTAATACAAGACATTTCCTGTTGCCAGCAGGTGGAGCTATGATTATAACTGAATGTTAGCCTTTAGATGCGTTCAGGCCAGGACTCTTATCGAACATGTGAAGTTTGGGGCATTGTGTGTGTGAGTTACAACATCTTCTATTCCCATGGTGAAACATCAAGATTTGTCACGCAGCAACAGACATGCCCTTTAATGAAAACTAAAGATCTTCACAATTTAACATAGCAGAGGCCTTTAGATTAGACTGACTAAATGTTGATGTCATTAAATCTCTCTGAAGAGTTTGTTACAGCGTAAAACATGTCACTTCCTGTTGCCAGCAGGTGGCGCTATGACTATGACTGAATATGGGCATGGACATGTGTTCAGGACAGGACTCTTCTCAAACGTGTGAAGTTTGGGACAGATCGGATGTTGTATGTCTGAGCTATAACAACTTCCTTTTTAATGGCGAAACATCGAAATTTGTCAGGCGTCCACGGGCACGCCCTTCAACGAAACACAAGATCTTCGCAATTTAACATCACAAAGGGCTTTAGATTAGACAGACCAAATTTGGTGTTGATCTGGTTAAATCTCTAGGAGGAGTTCATTAAAATACAATGCATGAAATTAGCAAAAATGACACAAAATTTGTTGAGAAAATTAAAAATAACCAACTTCCTGTTGGGTTTCGGATTTTGCTCCAAGATATTTTTTTTGTAGGTATTGGTGCTTTACATGTGTGCATCAATATTTGTGCATATATGTGGTAAATATAGGAGGAATAGATTAAAGTCATTTATATGTGCCAAACTTCCTGCTGCCAGCTGGTGGTGCTATGAATATAACTGAAAATTGGCATGTAGATGTCTTCAGGTCAGTACGTTCATCAAACATGAGAAGTTTGGTGCAGATCGAACATGGTATGTTTGAGTTAGAGTAAAACATGACATTTTCTGTTGCCAACAGATGGCGCTATGATTATAACTTAATATTGGCCTTTAGATGTCTTCAGGCCATGACTCTTTCCAAATATGTGAAGTTTGGTGCAGATCGGACGTTGCATGTTTGTGTAAAACAAGCCATTTCCTGTTGCCAGCAGGTGGCGCTATGATTATAATGGACTATTGGCATTCAGATGTGTTCAGGCCAGGACTTTTATCAAACATGTGAAGTTTGGGGAAGATCGGACATTTTATGCCGGAGTTACGAAAACTTTTATTCCCATGGCGAGACATCGAAATTTGTCACTGCGCCATGGACACGCCCTTTAACGAAAACTCAAGATCGTCACAATTTAGTATCGCAAAGGCCTTTAGATTAGACTGACCAAAAAAAAATTTTGATGTCATTAAATTTCTAGGAGTAGTCCGTCACAGTGTAAAACATGTCACTTCCTGTTGCCAGCAGGTGGCGCTATGACTATATCTGAATATGGGCATGTAGATCCGTTCAGCTCAGGAATCTTATCAAACATATGAAGTTTGGAGCAGATTAGACATTGTGTGTCTGAGTTATAGCAACTTCCTTTTTCATGGCGAAACATCGAAATATAATAGGCCGCCACGGACACGGCCTTCAACGAAAACTCTAGATCTTCACAATATAACATCGCAAAGGCCTTTAGATTACACTGACCAACTATGGTGTTGATCTGAATAAATCTCTATGAGGAGTTCGTTAAAGTACAACCTCTGAAAATGTCAAAAACGACACAAATTTTGCAGAGAAAATTCAAAATAACCAACTTCCTGTTGGGATTCGGATTTCGTACCAGGAGACTTTTTTGTAGGTATCAGTGTGTTACATGTGTGTACCGATTTTCGTACATGTACGTGAAACG